TCTTCTCCAATAACATCTGGTCTCTTTTCTTCAATAGCAAGATCCAGCCCTTGTTGAAAAAGGACATCTAGAACCTCACCTTGCCACATCCCAAAATGTCCTAACCCATCAAAAATTTCTACCGCAAATTTCGCATTTGACACAATTCTTGTCATAAGCGAAGATGCCAATGATGACGTATTGTTGACACTTGATGTAGATTCTTCTTGTTTATTGTCTCCCATATTTGACACAAATATTATTTAATAGCTGACGACACAAATCAAGATTATTTCCTTTCTGATGTAGAAGATCAGACTAAGCTGCAACTACAGAGCATACTCAGACAGAACCTTGACTCAGTTACCAAGATAAATCTTTTCTGATGTGGAAGATCAGACTATGCTGCAACCACAGAGCATACTTAGACAGTACCTTGGCTCTGATACCAATTGTTGCGGAAGCCAAATGTATATAGTGTGAATAAGTCACAACTACTATACCAAAAATTATGACAGCCACCAAATAATAAATAAGACAATAAAGCAACAATAAAAGGAACACCAGAATTTACGAGGTTCGGCCAATTTTGCCTACTTCCTCGGACACAACCAATATTTTATTCCACTCCAAAAATACAAGTGAAATAATACTAAAGAGAGAAGATACAAATGCCTTAAGAAGATAAGAAGGCAAATGAGAGGTGTGTTTAAATCCTAAATATTAGGCCTCCTTTTATAAGGGAAAAATCCCAACAATTTTTCTCCCCAACCGATGTGGGAGTTTGACAACTTCAACACTAATTTTAACTTATGGATTTGTATTTTGCGTGTAGATATTTATACCCGAACGTCAGATCATTTGATAGGATGGTGAACATAATAAAATACGGTTCACCTCTCAATTATTTTGTATGTTATATGGCCCAGGACAAGGTAGCACTTGTAATATTTCGGCATGTGATGCATTTTATTTGGGTGGTGAATCCTTTCGTGTGAGGAAAATCATGTGAACTCTATTTAACTGCATGAAAGATTTCCAACCAAATCAAAAACACTGATAAGCAACATCTATTTTGTCTTAATCCAATAGTAGTTGGAGTTGGCTACGTAAATCCTCAACAACTAACACGGTAACAACATATAAGATATTTACTACCAAATGGTCATAGAAATTTACTACACAGCGAAATGTGTCATTTAAATTGAAATAGATGAAATAACATTTATTTTCTGGAAATAAAATGCCCTCCAAATGGTTCTTTCTAGTCAGAAATTAATATCTGAAAACAAGTTTTCAAATTCGTAATGGTGTTGGGGAGTTGTATAGAGAGTATTAAATGAACTGTCGTATACATCCAAGTAAAAAACAGAATATATTAGGAGTAATTAAAGTACCATCAGCAGCGCACCAAGAGAAAATTAAAACTACTCATGAGTTGGAGGACTATTTCACAACTTATTATTACATATGGATTTAACGGATATACACCGACGATATAAAGAATTTTTACACTATCAGTATACTTTAACCCAAACATTATGTATGTATAACTGCATAAGAGGGACAATTCTCTTATCAATTCTGTAGGGGGCGCTTTGTTCTGCATTCTGGTAGTCCAATAAATAATTCAGTCTCAACATCCGATTTTTCACTACCTTCTACTGAAAGTGAAAGGTCTTCTCCCTGATCTTCTCCACTTGACGCTTTTGGCTGTTCAAGATCACCACACTAAAACAAAAGGGCAAGGCAATTATATAGTTTCCTTTTCTCAAATAATTAAACTGTGAAGAAGGAAACAATCTTGAAGCTGTCTGTAAAGGAATAGTAAAAATGGGCATTTGAGTATTTTCAATACGTTCCCTATGTAAACCTATAGGGTATTCAATTTAAAATAACCAGGGGTGGATATATTGAGTAATATATGGAGTCAGATAAACTCAGTAGCTTCGGCTTAGACTTTGTATGTGTTAAAAATCCACTAAATAAGTTGTGATAGAATCCCGAACTCTAACACATAAAGTTCATATCGTGAATTCGTCTATGGCTTTGAGATAACCATTAGAAAACCATATGAATTACAGTACTTCATGGGAAGGCCCTTTGAAGATCTTTTGGCACAGAGAGTTGGTCATGTTTGACTAAAGAAAAGCTATATTTTTATCAATCTTAATAAAAATAATTCTCGAGAAATATTTTTCATGCGAGAAATTTACCTACCATGTTCATACTAAAGTAAGAAATCATACTAATAATTAATCTTTGTTGTATAGAATTGAAAGGACTCCTACATAAGGTGTTTTGATCCATACAACAGTAGTTTTCTTGATCTCCTTCTTACTTTTAAAAGGTTCCATCTTTTAGTATTCTAAACATTCAGGCTGAGGGAAAGAAAAAGTACCTTCTCCAATAACATTGCATTTTCGGATGAAAGGTCTTTCACCTGGATTTAAGAGACAGAAAAGCATGAGGCAAACAATTATAGTACTAATATAAATTCTTCAAGTAGTAGCATTGCTTGAAATAAGTGATGCTGTGCAAAAACGCGCTATGTGCTATTAAACTTTGTTTTTCGGTTCTTATTATCCCTATCGCTGCTATTACATTTTGTGCACAAATAGTGTATAGAATTTTAAAACAGTCTAGTAAAAATCATATTATTACATTGAAATAGATTAATAGCAAGCTGGCTATAACTTAAACTCCTGCTACTTTTATAATTTATATATACATGAGGTTCATGGGAATTGCAGCTTGAAATAAATCATGAGTCACTGTGACCTTACATTTTCTTTCAATCTCCCAATCTGTTCCCTAAAGACTTCCATCTGAGTACAAACAAGAAAAGGATATGTCAAGTTTTGCTGAGCTATATATACAGGTATAGAGAGATAGATATATTGCTAACACACTACGTGATTGTAGTATGTTTGCATTTTGTCTTAGAATAGACCACTGCATGATGTTTTATGAATAAACCTTTCTTGCACGGATAACGTTGAGACTCCGTTCCAACTGACGCTCTATCTGTTGTATTTCTTCAAGGCTGCAAGATCCTAAACCTTCTCCCAAGAGCTTCCTAATGGAAATGGAATTTATGTTGGAAGGACTTCAAAGTACATACTGGAAGTTGTTTTTTTGATATAACAAAAGTCATTTTTCATGAAAAATATTTCCTGAAAGATATTTTCTCATTCTTGATCGGTTAGTAGAAAATATTTTAAAAACATGCTATTAATTAAAGATTAATAGTATTGAGAAGTGTCTTGGTGAAATTTGTGAGTATACTAAAGGTTAATAATTAACAACGTCTAAGTGTTAAAGTGTTAGTTGAACAAGTAACATGAACTTAAAAATTAAGGTAGTTGTTGTTAAAAAAAAAAAAAAGAGACTTACGCCCATAAGTGGCGGAAGTTATTTTATCCCTTTTGATGAAAAATATCTTCATTAATAATCAAACACAAGTTTTCTTGAAAAATAACTTCTATCATACCAAACACACAAATAAAACAACTTCTAGTAGGAGGAAACCTTTTAGATGTTTCAAGAAGCTCAATCTTCTTCATCAAAGTGGTTGTTTCATGCTTCAAATTCTGCATTATTATATAATGTACGCTGAATCATTAGAAAGTTTTGTAAGACAACAGCAACAATAACGACCAGTAAAATTTCACAAGACATTAATATCAGTTCATCTCATGAGAAGACATTAAAGAAAGACCAAAACCTGCATATTATTCTGTTCCACAGGTGGTATTTCTCCCCGAACATCTTCATTATGCTTCCGGTAACGCTCCATAATCTCCTGCATGCTGCATTTCTCCAGAAAAACACTAACACAATCAGCTTCTTTTTACCTTTTATGTGGTATTTGGCCGTTCCTACATCCTTGCACATACTCGTACCAGATACATACCCATAACCAAACCCGTGTAACATAACTAGAGGCAACTCTTCTTGTTGGCAAGGATTGGATATATGTATTACGTGACGACGACGACAACAACAACAACATACCCAGTATTATTCCACATCGTGGGGTCTGAGGAGGATAGTATGTACGCAGATCTTACCCCTACCTTATGAGGATATAGGTGAAGGGAGGCAAAATGAAAATAACCATGGCCATAAAGCAATCACAAACTCGTGCAAGCCAAACTATTATCTTTTTCTTTTTCCTCCAATATTTTCATCCCTTCTTTTTTTTTTTTTTTTTTTTGGAGGGGATGGGGATGGGGTGGGGGAGGAGATGAGGGGAAGTTCAATTAAATTACTAGTCCCCGTCACGGTGCTCCAACATTGAACGCTTCATAGTAGCATATAAAGTTATTTCAAGAAAAGTGATCAATAAACATGAATGCTTGTACACGTTGTAATCCATGTCTATATACACACATACAAACCAAGTTTTTTCCTTTCTATTTTTCATGCGGGACTTTGTTTACACATCCAATACGGGCCTGGTCCCGATTTTGGGTCGGACCAGGCTGCCATTAAGGGGTCGGGTTTGGGTGGGAAGTCTGTCCGACCCTGCCCTCGTACCCGATTTTGGGTGTTATTCAAGCGGTACTGACATGAGTCATTTTTCATAAAAATTGTATTATTCTTGTTGAAGTAAATATTGAACTTTCTAAAATGGACAAAGTTTTTAAAAGATATTTCAATCTTCAAACTTCAATTGATAATAATAACATCATAATTATAAATTCAAATTTCAAAGCTTATAAGTTTCAAAGTGCAAATGTGGTTTTTCTTATTTAATTGACTTAAAAAAATAAAGAGAAGCATAAAATTAAAGTCTGGACGATTTTATGCTGTAGTAACCTTTGCTTCTTTGTTCTGGCTTCTGATCCAATTCAATCTCTGATCCTATAGGGCCTCCTACTTTATCTCTCACATGTGGGTGCTTGTGACGCAAGTAGGGGTGTAAATGGATATTCGAAAACCGATCGAACCGTATCGTATCGAACCGATTTTTAGATTTCCTTTTAAGAAATCATAGGTTTTTATATAAATCTATAACTGCACCGATAATTAGAGTAGGTTTTCTATTTTATAAAAATAAACCGAAAAATAACCGAACCTTACCGAATAAATTTTACACGTGAAAAATATATTTATTTGGTAAGTTTAAAAATAATAATGCACTAAATTTTCTTTCGGCCTTGGAATTATGAAAACTATTACAAGCCAACAAGTAATTAAACTCAAACTACTAATTCCTAAAACTTATTATGCTACTTCTACTTAAACTAAATTATTTCAAGTCTCTTTATTAGCAAGACACAAAGTATTTTATCGATTATGAGTAGCAAACTACAATGTATTGAATATGTTTTCTTTCATATAATTTAGATTTATCTGTTTGAATATTTTATCTTCTATAGACTTTATTCTTGAGTCTCATCTTGGTATATCTTTCAACTCGTGTGATTTATATTTTTTTTGCCTTTATTTGATTTCTTTTACATTGTTGTAGAATAGTTGATGGATCTATATTCTAGCCATCTTTTTTTTTTAAAATTCATCACCCTTTAAACAGTAAAAATGTCTAGAGAGTTTTGCTAAATCCTATAAAAACTTATGTTATTGCATTCTACTTCTACTAGTGAATTTTATATGATATTTAAAAAAATACCGAAAATTAACCGAACCGTATCGATACCGAAGAGAAACCGACATGATTGGGACGGCTTCGAAAAGTCTAATTTTGGTTATACATAATAGAATAACCGAAAAAATGGTATGATACAAATTTTATAAAATAAATATCCAAACCGAACCATTGACACCCCTAGACGCAAGTATTGAATAAGACGACCCGTCCCCTCTCTATTATTTTTGTCTTTGTGTACAAAGTTTATATTGAACCGTAATTGTATCTATTCAATCTAAATAATTCCATACATGACTTGTTGTTGCTCGGACCAAGACACACGAGGAGGACTATCTATTATGCAAATTATTTTTTGAAAGAAATTTAAATGTGTGTGAGAGAGAGAAAGAGCGAGAGAGAGAAAGAGCGAGAGAGATAGTAAGTAGAAGTATGAACATAAAGAAAGATTATGAGTATTTAATAATTTTATAAACTTCAAAGCTAAAACTAAAATTTAGGGGGGGGGGGGTATTGGGAGGCCATTTTAGTCTCTTTTTAAGCTAATAGTCAAATTGCAGAAATGACCGTTGGCCAACGATCAGAAAATGGCTATATTTTCTTATAGCAAAGGTTGATATCTTATTTATTTTAAATAAATATCCTTTTAAATAAACATATTATATAGCTACCTTTTGATTTTTATAAGCACCAGTGATCACTATTTCCCGTTTCCCCCAATCTCAAATAGTTGCACCGCCCAAACATCCCATTCCTCCCTTCTTTGAGATATTCCATTTATCTTTTTCTTTCTTTCTTTCGTTTTATTCTTTTTCCCAACTTTTCTTTCTGTCAAGACTTAGATGAAGCCGCAATTTTCTATGTCAAAGTCAAGATCAAGATGAAGATTTAGTGGTTGAAGAGTCTGTTTAGAAATCAATGTCTTATGTTTCGTATCAATGTCGAAATCTGGCATAGGGTAAATTGGGGCTGACAATGGAGGTTCGAAATCTGCTATCGACGAGATGACATTAGGGTTATTCTTGAATAAAGAAGACGGAGTTTGGGGCTGAGCAACTTGAAGAGTCTGTTACCTTTTTTCGTTGTATTTCAATGTATCTCGCTATATTTTATGTATTTCATTGTATTCATTGTCTTCTTTTTTCATTATATTTCAATGTATCTCGTTGTATTCCATGTATTTCATTGTATTCATTGTCTCGCTATATTCCATCAATATATTCATGTGTTTTTTTAATTAATATTATTTATGTATTTTATGTATTCAGATTTATAATTGTGTTTGTTGAGTTATATTAGGAGTCTATTGTGTTAATTGATTCACTTTTCGCTTAAAAACAACTGAATAGACCGCGAATTGCACTATTTACGTTATTGCTTTCACAAATACATATCGTGAATACAGTCGAATACAATAATCTGTCTAGCTGTAATCCCCTGTTTCACGCCGTGAATACAGTCGAATACAATAATCTGTCTAGCTGTAATCCCCTATTTCACGCCGAGAAATGCTACTGTATTCATGAATACAGTAGCTTAAATACATCGAATACACTCTAAAAACCTGAAAACATAGCTATAGGAAGTAATATAGTAAATGGTAGCTACAACTAGCTAATAACCACTAAAACATAGTGGTTTCTGAAAGTTTTTCTATAATATACAGATCGTAACGGGCTGAGCCGTGCCCGAGCACATGCCCAACCGGCCATTTGAATTTGGGTTTTGACAGGGCCAAACTGCTCCAAACATGGGACAACCCGGCCCAATTGACAGGTTTATTTCAAACTACCAAGAAAGGAGCTCAAACCATGATTTACTATCCCTAGAAAATGAAGATTATCACGGACAACCTTGTTGCACCTCCCGATCTAGTTTAGAAGATGACTTGATTCTCTACATACTTTGATGTTTAGGGCCTTAATAAGATACCCTAGTTGTCTCAGTGACATCTCAGGCAGAGCCTATCAAACTTACAGATCATCATATGCTTCTATATATTAAGTCCTAAATATCGTTAATGTCACTGAATAAACCATTGCTAGTCAAAATAAAACGAGTCAAGAAGAGGGTTTTCTAATCAATATCAATAAGGGAGGAATAAAGGAGGTCCTGGAAAAGGTGGACGTGGTTTTCATGGTCAGCAACATCAACAAACATCCACAATCCAATGCTAAGTATGTAACAAGTTTGGTCATTGCTGCAAATTGTTACCATAGGGTTTTATCATGCCTTTCAAGTCGGAAACAAGCAATAACTCATAGAATTTATTGCACAAGTTGATCCTTTTTGGTCAGATTCAGGTGCTAGGACCAAATCATAAATGGTCTCAACAATATAAACATTGGCGGATATTCTAGTGCTAAAATTTCATGTAGGGAATGGCACAATTCTAAAAAAAGCTCACAGTGGTGATTTTACTTTGCCTACTTCTTTTCGACCCTGCTCAATAGTAAATAGTTTACGTATTCCCAAGTATACAAAGAAATTTGTTAAGAGTGGCTCAGTTTACTGTTGGTAACAATGTTTAATTTGAATTTCATCCTCATGTTTGCTTTGTGAAGGATCAAGCAACACAGAAGGTTCTATTGCAAAGGACATGAGTAAGTCCGGCTAAGCCTATTCTGCTCAACATCAAGGTCTTCGTACGTCATAATCTTCCATAGATTTATGGCGTAGTCGTTTTGGACCCTTCGATAAACATTGTTAGACATGTAGTGAATAGACATTATTTACATGTCTTTAGAATTTCAAGTAAGTATTTGTTCTTCTTACCATTATGGCAAAATTCACAATTACCTTTCTCTAGATTTAGTTTATTCAGATGCATTGGGTCCTACCCTTATCTTGCATGCTATAAATTTCATTAGTATGCTTCATTTTGTTGATGATTTTAGAAAATACACTTGGCTCTATCCTATTAAGCCCAAACGCAAAATTCATACATGTCTTTCTTTAGTTTAGGAATCAGGTATTGAAATATTTTTTTAAAGGAAGATCAAATCTTTCCAACCTGCTTAAGGTAGTGAATGCAGAACGTGCTCAAAATTACTTCAGAAATGGATATCACTCGTCAATTTTATTGTCTCCATACACAACATGAACAAAACAATAATATTGAAAGAAAGCATCATAACAATGTAGGAACCAGCCTAACACTCTTAAACTATGCTTCTTTTGCCCTTAGATTTTTTTGAT